CCCTGGACAGAGAGCTGTCTCCTGCTCAGGCCGTGCTAAAACCTTGCTCTCTCTACAAGCAGGCTCTGGTACCCAAATGTGCCCACAGCTCCTGCCTACTAGGTCTGAGCTTACTGTGATCCCACCTGCATCTGAGGCATGGGCCCCCCTGACCTCCAGCTTCACTAGACCTGGACCTTTCTTCTCAGAGCCAGCTCCCAGATTCTCCACCAATCCCCTGAATGGGGTTGCAGGATCCCCAGGGGTTGAGATAGGAGGAGCATGGAGCTCAGGACTACGGCGAAGCCAGTTGATAATACCCATGGTGACGGTGAGTTCAGTGTCACAGAGCTTCAGCAGGCACTCCTTGCCCTTCCAGGAGCTCTGCAAGAAACCCTGGCTGAGCAGGTCTGGGCTTGGTCCCGAGGCCAAGTCTTCCTCTGCCCCCATGTGGAAGCTGCAAATAGACAGTGGCATTCCCAGTGCTGGCTCTGAGAGACTCTCAGACACGCACAGGTCATCATCAAGGCCAACAGGACCCTCACTAGGGTCACAGAAAAGCTCATAGAGGGCATCTCCACTATAGCTCTCCCGAGGGAAGGCAGCTGCAGGGGTGCCTGGGCTCATGGCTTCCTTCCTATCCTCCTCAAGGCTAGATGAAAAGGCATCGTAGTAGCCCTCGTCACTTGTGGACACAGATTCTGGCTGCTCGCTCCTGGTGGTGCCTGTGTTTATGGAGCTGGCTTTGGAGCCACTGAAGAGGTCCCTGCAGGGACACAGAGGGAACTCAATGAGCCCAGCTGAATCAAGCCCAGGTTGGGCTGTATCCGTTCCCTGAGGGCTCAGTTGGGTGTGTTGTTGTTGCCTCACAGAGTGATTCACACTATCCCAGAACTTGGCAAAGCCAGACATGTCATCCTGGGAAGGAGACACCAGCTTCTCCATGCTGCCCTGGAAGGGGCCACTAGAAACCTTGCTCTCAAGGGCCTGCGATGACTTGGCTGAGCTCTCCAAGCCCTCATTCAGCTCCAGGAATGGCACTGAGCTTTCATCCGCAAAGATCTCCCCGCAGCCTGTGAGTGAGTCAAAGCTCTTAAGTGAAGCCACGTCCTCACACAGGGCCCTGCAGAAGTCGAAAGAGGAGTCAGGCAGGAACTCACTGTCAGATAGGTCCTGGCACAAGCCATCCAGCCCCAGTCCCTCACCCAAGGGGAAAAAGGCTTTGCCTCGCTGCCCTCCAGCCTTTGATGGGATTCTGGGGGAAGGCAGGCTCTTTCCCCTGGTTTCCAGTGAAGCCAAGTTCTCAGTCTTGTTTCTATGAATGTGGAATAGGTTCCGAAAGCACTTCTTGGGTCGTTTCAGGGAAATCCTCTTCCTTGGGATGCTCTTAGCCACGGCTGGCACAAAAGGCATTTGGGGCACAAAGTGGCGGTAATCAATAATGCGCTGGCTGCCAGAGGGCCCTGGGAAGCTCGTGCTGCCTACCAGTTGCCTTGTGGCTGCGACCATCCTGCCAGCCCCAGGCACACTGTTGTGAGTCTTGCTCTTCCATACCAATTTGAAGGTGGCACCACAGAGGTCTGTGGCACCACCCTCAGGCTCTGGCTGTGCTCCCTTTTTGGAGTATATGTTATATCCGTGGGTATTAAGACTGGCTTGTGGGCCTCTTTCACCATGGATCTGCTGCTGCCCTCCAGGTGAGACTGACCAGGGGTCTGCATCGTCCCAGGCTGGGGCAGTTGCTGCTGGGCCTGGGGACTTCTCATGAGAAATGTGAAAGCTGGATTTGATGAAAGTCTTTCCTCTCTTCAGCTCCATGCTTCCAGTGCTGTTAGCTGTTGTGGGGGAAAGCATGAGGCACTTAGTATCCATGGTTCTAGCCCACAGTGGTGTTGGAGCTGAACTCTGATATCTAAGCTTGGATCCTCCTTGGAGGTGGTAGAGAGGGAGATGGGAGCAGCCCATCCATGCTCACTATCTAGCCTTTATAGACAACTAATGCTGAGAGAAGTTAAGTCACATGATTAAAGGCAACAGTATACCCAAATTGATTTCAGAAGTGTCTGGTGCTCTTGCATTTGTGATCTCTTGACTTACCCAAGCATCCTCTCAGAGATATCTGGCCAAGTCAGACTCCCATTTCCAGGCCCAGGCACTCTACACATAGCACCACATCCTTATAGGGAAGTATCATGGTCCTTGTAAGTGAATGGAGCAGATAATTAAATAAAAAAGTTGCCGCCTATGTCTAAGAGACAAAGTTCAAAGAGAAACCCAAGCTTGCTTCCTGGATTAGATAGTGTCGTCCATCAGTCAGAGGGTAAGGCACATATACTGTCCTCTAGGACTGTTGCATCTGTTTGAGGAGGCAAGACTCAATCTATACAGATGCCATCAGGCAAAGCACAGTCAAGCATCTGATGGTGCATGCAGATCTTGATCACTGAGATGACAGAGAGTATCATGGTAGAAAGCCAAAGAGAGGAGGCAAGCATGAGGTCAGGAACAGGCAGATTGGATAGACACAGAACATCATGGCTGAAAAAGTAGGTATGTATCACCTTTTGTGCACAGCCTAACTGAAATATATTGATGCCTGGAATGTCATCCAGAGAAGCTTTCTGATGTCCAGTCTGAGTTCAGTGGGCAAGGGTGCTGAGATCTCTTGTTGATGTCTGTCCTGGGTGTGGAACTGAGAAGGTGGTGCAATAGCTACCAATTTGATTATATTTGCACACCTGAGGGTTTTGGCCTTACCCTGAGATCAACAAAGAAGTATGAAAGTCTTCTGAATGAGTGAGTGGAAGCAGTGGCATAAAGAAGTTGGTAGTCTATACCATTCATCTGAGTAGGGACAGAATAAATTAAGAGGGAGGCTCTGAACAAAGAGGACTCAAAAGAGACAGCTAAAATTGACTGACTGTATAGAGATAAGGTCCAGACGGAGGCTGTAGTCATAAGCATGAAAAATAGATGTCAAGTTATAGGGTCTTTCAAAGAAAGAAACACTAGGATTCAGCAACTGAATACAGAAAGAGAAGCAGGCCAGAAGTTGTAAACACTGAGGCCTGGATTCATACCAAGAGAAGGGAACAATGAGAAGTGAGGAAAGGCAAGGAAATGGAGAATTGAGCGAAGATGAGGAAAGGGCCTGTGCTAAGAGCTGGTTTGAGGGAGAGAAGAAAGGGTTTAGTTTTAAATATGTTACCTTTGGGGTGAATTTGGAGACCCACAAGACCATACCAAAAGAAGGCAAGGCCTGAGAACCACCCCAGCTCACACTCTGCACCCTCACAGGCGCCCACTTCACATGCTCAGTTCTTCCCCATGCCAGTGAGTGATCTACAGGTTGGGCCTATGTCATTCTGGCCAGGGAGAGATTAAAGAAGAGAATTTTGGGCTAGTTTCTTTGACTCTCTTTCACTGCTCCATAGAGAGCACCTGAATTCACTTCCTCAGGCCACAGCTTGTGAAAGAGGAATGAAGCAGATGTGAAAGCACAAGGCTCTGCCAGCCTACACACCTTTCACACTCACTGACAAGGAAGCTTCATAGCTACCTCCAGAGAGCTGTTTGACAGCTATAAGCTGACTAGCGTCAACTCCAAAGTCTCTGAAATGCTTTAACATGAGGATCCAGAGGCAGGCAGAGGAGCTGCCTCACAGCCTACTAGGCAACATTAAAGCCAAAAAGGATGAGAAGGTGTGGCAAAACTGGCATTGCAGAGATTCGCCAGAGTTCTCCACCATACTCCCCACTGAACAGTGCTTCCTCCCCTGCAGCAGACACCTGGGACACTTTTAACTGAAGGATAAGAAAAGGAGCAGGCACTATGCCAGGGAACGCCACAAAACCTGGCCTTGGGAATAGCGAGAGCTCAGCTCTTGGTGGGAGCATCCTGGTCAGCAGGACAGTGCCTCAAGCTGCTTGCTGCTTTCTGCTTCCTGACAGGTGGCATGTACTCAAACCTTTCCCACCCTACACCTGTAGACCCCATTTCTGATCCACCCAAATATTTTGGGCTAGAGGGAGGCCTTATATTGAGGGAGGCCTTATCTAGGCCTCCCTCAGCACTTAGAGGGGGAGGGGTGGATGCACAAAGCAAAGTTGTTACTAACTGGGTTTTAGGGTCCGAGGACCCAATTTGAGTCTTGGTTACATTTACTTAACCAGGCAGAGTGGTTGGCCCATAACTTCATAAGAGGCATAGTAGTATAACCCCATTTTATAAACAAGAAATTAAGGTCCAGAAAAGTCAATGGATTGGCCCAGGTCATACAGAGTTGAGTGGTAAGCGACAGAGCCAGGATAAGAGCCTATGCTCTTAACAATGATAGATATTTTATGAACAAATAGCTCAAACTCCCCCTTAATGGCAAATCTAAAAGTGGAATAATAAATGTGTTTTCGTGAGAAATTTTTAAAAGCATAATAAAAATGAAGATTAAAAGCAAAAATGTACCTAACAAAAATTTAGAAAAATTGTAATTGAAGGCAGTATAATTTCTGTGGCAAGAAATTTTGGAGATATTATGAGATATCTATTGAATTTATTCTTTTTTGTTTTAGAAAAATGTTTTTATTACCATACTCTTGGAAATAATTTCAAGGCATGATAAAAATTATTTCACTGTGTGCATAATTTTGCAACCACAAGAGCTAAGATGATTCCTTTGTTATTTATCTCTATAAATAAAATTACTGGTTTCTTAATTATTGGAAATGTTAACTGATTTAAAATCATGAATAGTTGGAAATGTCACTGCACTCTGAACTTGGAAAATGATAGATCAAAGTAAATGTCATTGCTGTAGAAGACTGGACTCAGTCACTAATATTGCTCACCCTATTTCCTGAGTTAATTTAACATTTTGCAAGATATGATAATAAGCACTAAGATCCACAACAATGAACCAGAAGCTTGCAAAATTCTGGAGCAATCATGAAATTCAGTGTGTATTCAGTCCAGTCAGTTTCCACATTATAATATTTTATCAGGGCATGACTCTTTGGGTGGGAACTTTCTGAGAGGTCAAAGGGCTCACTACCCAAATGGAGACAGGCTGAGCAGTCACCTTCCATGACAGTTTCAGGGTCATAGTGGGATTTATCTGGACAGCTAGCACTGTCACTGCCTGATGGCAGAGGTCAAATAAGACCAGGTTCTCAGCTGCAAAAATGCACATTCTGCTTTGTAATCCTCTAGTTAAAAGGTCCTATCAGTGGAGTCCAGAATTAAGCTATGTGCCATGTCCCTCCCCAAAAGACAAAGCAGAACTGTCCCTCCCCCAGCTTGGTGTCTTCCTGTCTATAGCACTCAGTGATCACTGGCGCCTCACTCTGGGGTTTACTTGGTCTTCACCCTCACCAATGATTGTGAAAATTTATCAAAGGTTCAGGATTCCAACTGTAGTATCTAGAGCTACTACTTATTTAAATGAAGTATTTATGTTTTTTTGAGACATCTTAGCCATATAGTTACATCTAAGTTTCCTAAATAGGATGTTGGGTCTGGAATTTTTAATTTTACAGTTTATGCACATCATTTTCTAAGATGGGTCTCAATGATACCAAGACCTTGAATTGAGTCTTTCACCCCTAAAATGAACTTGCATATTCCATGAGAACAGGAACCACACCATGTACTTACACAATCAATTCTGATTCAAGGATGTATTATTTAAACCAAGACCTAAAAGATAGCTGAAGACAACCAGGCAAAAGATGAGGGGAGCATATTCCAGGTAGAGGGAACATCTGAGAAAAGGCATCGAGGAGCACGGGAGGGAGAAGAGTTAAAGATCTAAAAGCAGGCCCAGGTGACCAGAACAAGAAGTGGGATGAAGCAGGAGATAGGCAAGGCAGACCACACCTGGTCTGAGGTGTCAGGGAGGGTCTTGGCCTTTATCCTATGTGCCATTGGGAGCCAAACATGAAGGGTGAGTGACATGGGCCAATTTTCAGTTTTAACAGATTACTCCCACTGTAAGTGAGAATGGAAAGTAGGGGCAGGAGTAGAGGCAAAAGTTCAGGTTAGGAGGCAGAGCAGTGTCCATGGAAAAAATGTGGTGGTAGAGATATCTCACATGTATAAACCTTCTTTCTCAATGCTTTACACAGAGAATGCACATACATATAGATTTATTGCAAATGGAGCAAATAAAATAATTCTACTGGCTGCTTTTCTTCATGATGACTGACTATCTCAACAGCCTATGATTCTCTTTTCCCTTTGGTAAGGCAATTCTGTGCTTTTCTTTCCCTTTTTAACATAACAGTGACTGGGTGTTTCACGGAGCAAAATAAAAACCTTGAGATATGCTACAGAAATGATTTCGAGACATAAAAATATTTTTGACTAATAGTTTTGGTATTTGCCAAGTTTTCCCCTGCTCCACCCCTAACTTCCAGGTGGGTGGTATTAAGAAAGCAGAGATCTCTCTGATGGATGAAGTGAAGGTCATTGTGGGGAGGAAAAGCCTCCGTGTTCTGGAGTGGGTGTGGGGTGAGGAACAGAGCAGAAACTGCAGTGAGCATCATCAATTCACCCAACCCCCACGCTGGGGAGACAAAGGGTCCTTTGCAGAGCAAAGGTTCTGGCCCACCTCCTCTAAGGGAGTCTTTGGGTGTTCCTGGCCTGCCCAACCAACAGAATATATCTCCAGTCTTATCCTTTCTTTCCCAATTCCCGCAATGGCAACCACGGACGGAGGGTTTCTTCCCTACTCTAGTGCAGACCTAAAAGGATCAACGTCCCCAGACTCCAGACCCCAACCATACGAACAAGGCACCACAGGGTGAAGAGAGTGTAGACCTTA